ATATATATATATATATATATATTATATTATATTATATATATTATTAAAATAAATATTAAATTTTAAGTTTTAAGATCTGGTACCAACTTAAAATGAAAATGAAATAAATAGAATATATTAATCAAAATTAAAATTTAGTTGAAGTTATGATAGTAACAAACCGGTATAACATGATTTTTAGCACCCCAACAGAGAGGCTTAAAAGATCCAGTTCTAGTAGCTTCCTGAAATTCATTGAAATGGTTCTGCCAATCATAAGTAATAAGCCTGGTTTCTAGTGTCATGCCAGCTAGTTCCGGTGGTGACGATATTAGAACCGGGTTTGAATCACTAAAAATAAAAAACATTGATCAATAGTATTAATGTATTATATTTTTGTTTTAATTGTTGAAAATGAGGTATGTTCTGTTTTGTGTGATATTTTTAACATTACAAGAAACTTGTTAAAGAAAAACGAATAAGAATTATGCTCAACAAGTACGCAGCCCAAGGAGTTAATACTACCCACAATTAGGCAAGTTTTCTTCCCTTCCCTTTGTTTGCAGATGTTGTGGCATAAATTGTCCTGTTTTAAATTGCTATTTTAATAAGCTCGACAAACCGCATAAATCCCTCTTAATTAATTTATATATCTTTTTAATCCAACTTAATACTATGGGTGGTGGGGAAAATAGAGGGTGAATTTTGTAATATACTTTGAGAGTGTTTGTCATTTTGTGGTTGCATTTCTTCAAAACAATTACAATCAAAATAAAAGTAAGCATAAGAGTAATTAAAATATAGTCTGAACTATTATAAATTATTTGTAAGTTTGATGGTAACTAACAAAGAGGAGGATTATAAACTTAAATTAAAATATAGGATTCCACAGTTTACAGGAATACTGGTCTCAAATTGGTCCGCTGCACATGTGCGTATGTATGCGAAACGGCTTTGTTGTCAATTGCATCAACTAAAATTATGGAGCTACCATGTGTAGCTTAAGGCCATGTTACCTAATTATACCAAAATCTAAATACAATAGATTGTGTATTATGGCGCTTGTGGCTGTTATCGAGACGTATATATCGCTATAGAAAATGTCCTAGACCAGTAAAAAATTCAACGACGGCTTTACTAGCAGCAGTGGCCGTGCGCAAATTGTGTGATTGTGGTTTCACTATGGCTTTTGGCCACAACTTAAGTTGGTCGTACTGAACATGAATTGATGATGCCATTTGTAATTGGTAGATGTCATTTGTTTCGTTGTTATTTCAATTGTCGCATTTACCTCGACGAGTGTTGAACTCAATGCGTGAATGAAATACGAGGAAAGATAATTGATGGCAAAATATTCGCAATAAAGTCATGTTGGTCACCAAAGCTGATTTTACCTAAAGTTTAATTAAACTGCGCCAATACTTTGAATAGCAATAAAATAAAGGCAAAACAAACTAACACCTGCATAGACCTAAGCTCAACAATGTATCATGGTATATTTCTCTTTGACGGTTCAATGCTGTAATTAACATTTTCAATTCAGAATTTAACTAACAATGTGGTCATAAGATCATTCACTCAAACACTAATACTAAGCGCTACACTTATTTCAGAATTGTTTTTAAAACTGCAATCGATTTTGCTTAAAGCGCATATTTTAATTAAAAATTAATTTGATTTTGATATTGTTTACAGGGCTTTCTTGAAGTCCAATTAAATTGCATTCTAAATGTCTGTATTTAATAAAATGTGAATTAGAAGCATATAATTGTGATTTATATTAGAATATGGAGAATTTTGTTGTGTTTCGTTTATGGTCCAGCTAATTTTTTTGCTACCTATAGTAGCTTTAAAAAACTATTTTTAATTCTTCTTTGTTAACATTTATGTTATATATATTTCCTTCGATTACCCTAAAACCTCCTGAACTAGCTTCAATAATTTGCAGAAAACAGTAAAAAGATATCTAAACGATATTAAGCATTTTGAGCATTTAGGCAGCACTATTACTATGTTATGTTACACACAGACGCCTAAGTCACTTCAAACCAACCTTTTGACGCGTTCCAATCAGCAGGAAGGTGACTAGATTAGACCTACATGCTCAGTTTAAATAAGTAACATTACTTGTAATATATTAAATTAAAAACCTCTTGTTAGTCAATATGATTAGTTGTTGTTATTTAAACTTTGCACTTCGTTTAAATATAACAAAAAAAAAATAAATAAATTAAAAAGAATTGAGTATTATTTGTCAAATATTTGTTGACAAGTAACTGTAAATATTGTTCGTACTTCCAAAAATCGTTTATATTAGATGAAATTTTAGGCTTGGCAACCATGCGATTTAAGCTGCTTGTTAGTTAAGCAGTTTAAAAAAAGTTAGACTAAATAAGCCATCAGTGTTGTTGTTTCATATGTTATTTTTAAAATAAGCGGTTGTTCTTTTGTCATATACTTACAAAAGAAAAGTTCTATTGTGGTTAATTATTGTATGTTCTATAAACAAATGGTTATTATGGCTATCACGAGTGACCATAATAATTCAAGTGGCATTTAGTGGAGACGGCAGAATTTACATACATATATGCCACAAAATATTGCAACCACATTACAAAAATGCGCGAATTATTATTATTATTGATATTCTTATATTCAATGGACGTAACTAAGAATATAGTCTGTCAACGCATGATTTGTTTAAATTAAGAAACTGTAATTTGAAACTGTCTAAGTTCACTTAAGGATTTGGTTGACACATTCTTGATATTCCTTTGCTGGGTTAACTTGAATAAATAGAGGACTTGTCGCTGAATATTTCTTATTTCTTCTACTTTCCTTGTTTTGTTTCATGTGATAGTACAATCAAATCACATATGGCTTTGAATTTCCTTCTGATATATCAGACTATAGTACTTCAGTGCGTTTCAGTGCAGTTTTTAGATCTGAACTTTTGAACCATTTTCACAAAGTATACTGCTATTCTTAGCTAATTGCTGTTGTTTGCATTAATCTGCAAAGATGTTGCTGAATGGAAGAATATCATCAGCGTATGACAGATTAGTTTCCAATTTATGCCATACGTTTTGAACAATTCAAAAGCATATCAAAGCAAAAATTCTGTTTGATTTGGATAGATTATATTACAGTACGCCCAGTATACGGCAAAGTAAACGTTTATACATATTTTTAATAATATTGATTACTTTACTAAGGATACTGTGAGTAGAGAGTGTAAATCTATTCCCTAAATAATGGGAATAGTCAATTAACGCCATATAAAAAATAGAGTTGTGGTTGGCTGATGGCTGTATTAGTTTTTTAGCCATCTAAATCTTATTGATGCATGAATACATGGGCCTGACTTGCTTCAAATATAGTAACACTAAAAAAATATATGGGTTATCTAAAGCTGATAGCAGACCTATAAACAGAATTATTTGACAAATTACTTTTCCAAGACAAATTTCTTGGATCCAAAAGAGCAAAAATATAGCCTGAAACCGTTATTTATCTGGGCAACCAATAACTAATAGACGAATTTGTTGTCAACATAAACTCCAGAAACAAAGTTGTTTGGCCACCACGATCTAAGACCGCAGAGACTCTTTTTGTGGTAATATCGAACTCTTTGGTTTATGCGACTTAGCTGAATTGGAATATAATATTGAGCGTATTATTCGTGAGAAATGTGCACTCAATTGATTTTGTCTGGATTGAAAAAGTTTTGGAAAATTGATTTTCAACGATACAGTTTCTGGGACAAAAATAAGTCCGAAATCATTTTTCATCAATAATGTGAAAAAATACATATCTACTAAATGAAAGACAATTGTTGCTCTTCATTTATTTCACTTAAAACATTCAGCTAGAGTATTATCACTGTTCTTCTTCTTACGGCTTTTGACTACTTTAAGTGCTGCTTCTTACTTCAACCATTAAATGCATTTACAGGCATTTGATAACATCTCTTTTGATGGCGTCGCGTTCATATACTTTTCTACACTTTTATTGTATATTGCATCCAGGGTCTATCCAAAGAATGTTGTTCGTATAGTTAATTGATTTTCTTTATGTTTATATAGTATTTTATTTTTATTTTCTTTCACTGTGACTTTATATATTCTGTTTCAGCTGCAATTTGAGTAACTCTTCCGTGATCGTGGCCCATTATTTTAGAATTAATTATATCATAATTTTAGGGCTAGTCCTACTCTCTTCTGTCTACTACAGCAAGAACCTTGTTTTTGTTTTACTTTTATGAAATCCTCACTATCATTACATCTGTCGGGTTAATTGAATTTGAGTCCGAATATAAAAATATAACAGCATTTAGAAACATTGGAGCTCTCAATATTATTTACAAAAACATATGCAAAATATTTAGTTAGATTGATAGGAGATCCATATCCTTTTGCTCATTACTAGCTTTATGGTGAAATGAATGAATGAGAATGTCTTTAGATTACGTATTCTGTTCTTCACGGAATTGGTAAAGAAATGGTGTTAGTGTACTTCTTTAGGTTTCATCAAACCATGGCAAAAATCTGACTTCTATAGACTTTGACGACCTTGGAGTAGATCTGGCTCCACTGAAAGCATTAGCTTTTTATTTAACTTGAATAATGAGTATTTCAGTTATATTTATATACAGTTATATTTCTGTAGATTTTGTTGGTTGCGGTGTGATTCTAACTTTTCAATAAGGATATGTATACAAACAAAACAATTAGGTAATAAAAAAATAACTAACACTAAAAGCACTAACGAATGAGAAATGCATACAAAATCAATACTTTATGTAAAAGTGAAGTAGGTGAAATGCTTTAAAAATTACTATTTTATAAAACTTACGTAGCCAACTGTTCTATACCCAGAGAATGAAGGACTGTGGGCAAACTAGGCAAAGAATGACATGTTGTAAGCTTTTTCTGGCGCGGGTAGTAGAGCGTAAGCACCGTGCAACTTTCCTCCTTCATAGTTAGTCCACCTACAAAATAAAGAAAGTGATTACAGTTAAAATTTTTACCACAAGAAACGTGAAATAATTGCGAAACCATAAATTCGCACAAGTTTAATAAACTATTATAAATCGGTTTATTGTTAGTAGTGGGTGTGGTCCGACGTTTTGATTGCCACAATTGCTGCACACCACAATTGTGGTTGATGCAGTGGCACAACCGATTTATGTTTACCATAGCGTTTTATGTTTAAATGCACAATTTTCTTGCCATTACTAACTTGAGTTTACCTACCTAGAGTAATTGCTTTCCGTGACGAACTATCATAAATACATTCTGCAATCAGTCTATCTCCTGGCAATGAACGCACCGGGACAGGCAGACGACGGAAGTCCTCATAAGCAATGTCAATATTGCTGTCGTGTGCAATTGGAATAAATTCTTCAGTTTGTCGAATCTGTAAAAATAAAATTAAAGATTATAAGTTTAGTGAAAAACAACGTTCTGTCAACAGTTTTAAGTATATCTTTTAACTGAAGCAGTGAAATTTAGTTATTACTGTAAAAAATTTTGTTCTTTAATATTTGCATACAAAGTTTTGATAATTACCTGACGTAGCTTCACTTCCCTTCCAATTTGGTGTGTGCGCATCATCACAGCAAAAATATTGACACCTTGAGGTGGAAAAGCGTGTGCTGTGCAATCCTCAATACACTGACCTTCGGAAACAACATATTTTTGGCCTGGTGGTATTATGTGTCGCCAGTTCGGATCCATTCCTTAAATAAGATACATTTTTAACGTAATTAAACAAAATTTTGAAATTTTTTTCTATCAAGAGAATATAAGCCTTTTATAATATCGGCTACTTTACTCACAAAAACATGTAATAGACGATAAGAAAATGTCAAAGAATAGAAAATATGTCTTTTATAATATTCGCTGCTTTATTCACACATAATATGATAGACGATCATATGCTTTTATTCAAAAAATGGATAATAGAAATATACACAAAACTAATCAATTGTTTTATGTCTAAGTGAAGAAATATAGAACCTTAAAGACTAAAAAAAATTAATTTTATTTGCCACACAAGAACTTCTGTTTAAGAAAATTAGTATGCTATTGTAATATTTTTATTAGTATATCATATCTTCACCACTCCAAACATGTTGTATATAGGTATGTATTTCGACTAGTTTGAATATTATTCTTTTCAATGATATCAATTAAATTTTCTTTGAATGTTGAGGCTAGTTGAGTCAGTGCACTTGAACACTTTTACTCTCTACTAACTGCGAGGTTTCTTCATAACCCCTCTCTACGACTTACCTGGATTATTGTTTATCACTTCATCTGATTAAACAATAACTGACCTCAGATCTGCATTCCTCCCCGAGGAGCCTGTAATCATTCTAAGATTTGGAAGCGCGGTGTTGGTACACCTGTCCGTTTTCGTAAATAGTTTCAGGGCTTTATCCTTTATGTATTTTTTGATCAGTGTACCTCTGAATTCAACTTTTGTCAAAACTTTTTGAATGAAAATTTACTTTTTAACTATCGTAAATGTTAATAAAAGCTATATTATTTTTGTAAATGTAATTGTAATGTGATAACCGAGACGTTGAAAAGTATATAAACCATATACATGTCGCAATTGGCGGCGGGCAGTAAAATGAAAACGAAAAAACTGGCAACGCTGCTAGTTTTTTGATGGTTTTGAGTTGGAAAGGGCGAGTGATGTTGACGGGCGTAAAATACATTGAAATAATTTTGTTTTGTAGTAAAATATTATTGTAAAAATATTAATAAAATTTATTTATCATTAAATTAAATAAAGTTTTTCCTACATACATATATTCTTGATCAAAATGTTAGAGTGAATCGATGTAACCAGGCGGATAAAGTTTGAATATGAATGAAACAGATTCCAAATAAGTATCTGATGCCTTATTGTTATTTAAGTCTTTGGTGATAACAATTAATAACTAAGATTTTCCTAATAACTAGAATGGATACGTATGCAATTCTAAGTGTAGATTGTTCAGTTCACCATTATAACCAATAACCTATGAGAAGGTACGTTGTCTTGATGAAATTCTACATTTCTTTCTCACTTCGGTTTTATTGTGTTTTACGGCGTTGTTGTTCTTTAGTCGCACCAGTAACTATATATAATATTAGCTATTAATGATACTTCGTTTTCCCAGATGAGTCCCAAAATATAAATGCCTGCTAATTGTTGCGCCTTTGCCAGTTTTGCACGGTTTTCAGCGGTTGCCGTCCACTCAACTGATAGGCGTATCGACTCTGGAGTGAAATGGAGGATACATGTTACTCATTGTCACATATTGACGCAAAAAATATATGAAAAACTCTTTTTATTTTATTTTTAACAGCTCTCTGAATAGTCGACGGGTTGTTGCTTTTGGTCGATTGTGAGCACACGCTACACCCATTTTGAAAGCAACTTTCAATTTGTCTCAAGGACATATATTTTTAAAAAATTAGCTCTACATTTTTCTTTAAATTGTTAAGTGTGTAACCTATTTTCTGAAATTTTACTTCAAGATTTTCAAAACAATTTTGTGGATTTTTTTGAAGTTTTCCGCTGCAACTGCTTCGGTTGGACGGTCAGATCGTGCTGCATCTTCAGAGTTCAATGGTTGCTTTCGATTAAGCAGAGTTCAGATAATATTTATTTAGTCAAGGTTTAGCTTGAACGGTATTTTCTTCCATAAAAAAAGTAATTAAAAAATAACACATTAAATTGCTTTCAAAATTGGCATCACTGAAACCACAGTAACTAAACGTCATATTGTGATGAAACTTTAAATGTGATTGTTTGAAAGTATGTACTTCATAATAGTATATGGTTATATTCATAAACACGCGATCTATATATAAAACTTGGGGCTTTTCGGTGGATATAGTGCTACGATAGTGGTTTAAAGTGTTCGTGCATTACGCAGGTCCGTTAGTTCAAATATACTTAAAATTAAACATTTGGATCGAACACTTTAAGATAAGAACACTGTAAAATAATTTTCGAGTTATTCAAAAATTGTAATATTAACATAAAAATAGTGCCAGTAAATCAATCAATTAGGCTATTTGGATATAAAATACTATTGATATACTGTCTGGCTTTTATGGACGCTATTTATAAACTCAAATTTCTAGGGGTGATTGATCCACCCTATATGATAAAAAAAAAACATCGAAATTAAAAGTTAAATTGAAATGTAGAGCTCAATGAACAACACATCCCATGACAACTTTTAATTCACTTACACGACAATAAAAAGTTTTAGTTACAAAAAATAACGAATTGAAATCAATTTAAAGCGTTTTCAATAAAAACTATTTTTTATTGAATTTTCGGTTTTAAGGTTACTAACAATCGCATCGTGATGACTGCTCATGTTTTGGTAAAATAATTTACTTTTAATTGGCGTCAGCAAACTCATATATATGTTTATCGACTAGAGCACGTGACCGTAAAACTGTAAATTTTTATTTCAAATTTAATTATAGCTATTAACGAATTTCTTCCATTCTGCAAATCCCAACATGTGGACAAAATTTTTCTGTACAGTCCGTGTAGCGAGATATATGAAATCTGTTATCGAAAACCTGCACCGAAATCATATATGCAACCTAACTGAATTTGTCTATGCAAATATATTGCAGTTTGCACAAAATCTATTAAACTTTTAAACTTTTAATGTTGTTTTCCTTTTCCTACGAATACATTCAGATTATCTGGTTGCCAAATTTAACCAGCCAAATACATTTGATTGCATGCTGTAAACAGTGTTCCTCAATTAACAGTTCAACTTTTACAAGTTCTCTCCTTTCTCTGGAATTTCAATTTAGAAATTAGAAATATGCATATATTAGAGATCAGAGATCAATATTGCAGTCCTTTAGTTTTCATGGTGTAAGCACAGGTCTTCATGCTTCAACACTATATTATTGTGTAGCAAATT